TTATATGATAAATATGATTGGATATGATTGTTTACATGATAATCAATATTCGTGTATGTTATTAAATTGTCTTTTCTTTACCTTTTAACTTTGAAGCTTTGTAAAAAATGGTTAATGCAAAATTAGAAGCACAACGTAAAACTTTTTTTCATTTTTGGATGAATGGTATCCATTCACCAAAAGAAATGTATGAAAAAACAAACATCCCTCTTCATACCATTGAGAACAACTTAAAAAAACTAAAAGAAACTGGTTCTATTGAACATAAAAGTGGGAATGGTCATCCATCAAAGGTTACACAAAATCTGTCACATTCCATCGGGCAAGTTGTTTGCCATAATACTGCTATTTCAACACACAAACTTGCAATTAAACTCCAAGTAACACATAATGTGTCTATTTCACAGCCTACTGTTTGGCGACACATGAAAAAAAGGTTACAGAAGTTCTGTGCCCATTGGAACTCCAATGCTAACCACTCATCACTTTGAAGCCCAGATAGCATGGGCATAAGCTCATTTGAATGACGATTGGAGCCATACAATCTTTACAGATGAGACAGCATTTGATCTTTTTCATAACAAAATTTGTAGATGGCTTGAATTTATGGAATTTCATGGTAATGACACCTGAGAGAAAAGAATTTTTATATTGCATTTCTGATTTTTCTTCTGCCTCCCATACTGGTGAATTTTTAGCAGAAGAAATTAATAAAATTATTGAATGTATTGGACCAAAAAAGGTTGCAGCAATTGTTAGTGATAATGGTGCCAACATTGCCAAAGCTAGAAGGATTGTGACTAGCAAGTATAAGCATATTATTAATGTGAGATGTATAGCTCACTGTATTAATCTGATATCAAAAGATGTTATTGCACATAAATTTGCAAAAAATTTAATTTCTAAGGCAAACATTATAGTAAAATATTTTAAAAAGTCCTCTTTGGCTAATAGTCTTCTAAAATCACAAATAGAAAAGCATAGAATTCAAGGTGGTATTATCAAAAGTTACGTGAAAACAAGATGGACATCTGTTCATGAATGTTTAAATTCAATTATACAATTGAAAAGATGTTTAGAAGAAATTCGTGATGAACATTCTACTTCAATTAGTAATAATTCAGTGATTAGTATTTTAAGAAGTAGAGCATTCTTTGAAGATGTTGGTTACTTGGCTAACACTTTATTACCAATCAAGTTAGCTATTTTAGAAGTGGAGGGTAGAAGTACAAATCTTGCAGATTGTTACATTTCATTATTAAGAATTGCAGCAGTAATAAGAAATTTACCATCTAATGATTATAAATTTTTTAGAAATCATTGTATTTCTGTTTTAATAAAAGGTAAATTTTATAAATTTAGATTTAATTTTTTTATATATTCTCTAACCTTAAAAATTTTTTTTATTAAAGGTATAAAGAATTTGATGATCCGATTTATTTGTTAGCCTTTTTTCTACATCCAGCATATAAAGGGAATGGCATTAAGTATGGACAATTTTATAATATTGTTAGTCATGCTGGTTCTATTTGGAAATCTTTAGGAAAAAATCATGAAAGTTGGGAATCTTTGTCAACTCAGATACATCTATATAAACTTTAAAAAGATGATAATGGTGTTCCTAATGTTTATTCTGCACCATACACTCCCAATCAAGATACTGTTATGAGTTGGTGGAATACGTGTGAAGCAAATCCAAAGCATTTACAACAACTTGCACTAAGAATTTTTTCAATTACACCTAGCAGTGCTTCATGTGAGAGAATGTTCTCAACACTTGGCTGGCTGTATGGTAAGAAATGGCAAAATTTGTCAATCCACAAACTTGAAAGTCTGGCTAAAGTTTATAGATATAATATATCAGAAGTTGCACAAACTAC